TTTACAATACTTTATTCATAGATATCATTGATATAGATATTTATTTATGAAAAATAATGTCTTTTATTAAAAGGTCATGTAATCCCTAAGGCTCTAAACAAGTTTCATTTAGTTGAACTGAGGGCAGATGGCTCTTTGGATTTCATCTTTTACAAACTCCTGGTCTATCTCGATAAACTTTGTTTAGGTTTGTGGTTTTGATGTTATATGGCTTACGTTAGTCTTACGTTTTTACAAAGTTTCCTCCTTGCTGCCATTGCCTCTCAGATGTCATCAGCATGACAGTTCGGGCGACACAGTTTCACCCAGATGTCATCACCTTCCGCTGGTTCTGTCAGGGCGGGGAGCTCAGCCCCGTGGCTTCCAAGGCCTCGTCGTCGCCTCGGCCTAATTCAGAGGGCTTCTTCTCCGCCTTCAGTCAGTGCAAACTTCCCCGGAGTGAGGTGGAAAAGGGAGCTACCAAGGTGTGGGTGAGCGTGCACCACATCGCCCTGAAGCAGCCGATCACCCGTGAGACTAGAGGTGCCCAAAATAGATTATAAAAACTCATGCTTAAATATATATCATATGTGTGAATAAGATGAACATGTTCAAAACCATTCTTTGCTTTTAGGCTTCATCAAAAGACCATGTGTGTCTGACCTGATCAGCTTCACCAATGCCTCTGATCAGACCTTCAGTCTGGGATGTGAGATTACAGATTTCTACCCCCCAAACATTTCAGTCACTTGGCTGAAGCTTAGAGGTGGGGAGGAAGATGACAGAGAAGAGGAGGTGATAGAGGGAGGAGAGCTTTGGGGCCCCATACAAACTCAACCCAGACTCTTCAGAGCAACAGCTACGCTAAAGAGAAAACCAAACCCTCAGGAGAAAAGGGACAAAGCGGGTGGTGTCACTTGTAGAGTCCAGCATTGCTCCCTCAAAGAGCCAATAGTGAAACACTGGAGAAACGGGGAAAATGGTGTGAAACATTATTTTAGAGTATTTGGTGAAAAAAATTATTCAAGTTTAAGTTTTAACCCTTTCCTTCATTTTCCTCTTCTTTAGCTGCTCCGACCATTCCTCCATCGGTTTCAGTTTGTTGGAGCAGCGAAGGTGTTGGGGTGTTCTCCATCGTGCTGAAAGGAGGGCATCCAAAAGCCAAAATACTCTGGGCAGCGGGGGGGCATACACTCTCACCATTAGTGTCCACTGAGACAGAGGAGATAGGAGATGACGGACAGAGAGAGCTGAAAAGTGTCTGCGCCCTGGAGAAGTCCACAAGTCTCCCAAGTTTACCTGAAAAGCTGTCAGAGAGACGCAGGAGTAGCCAAGCAATAAGTACATACCTTCCATATAAGACACATCTAAAGTATGCTGCAAAAGTATTTATGACCCTTGAAATTTTGTACACTTGAGCCACATTGCAGCTGCAAACTTAAGTATGTTTCATTTGGATTTTATTGCACAGACAGAACAAAAAGTAGTGCAAACTTTGCAGGAGGTAAATGATTCTGATTTTAAACATGTTTGACCAAAGAGAAAAACCACGTGTCAACCTGTGGTTTAGATGAAAGCATGCTAATGTTCTGGAGTGGCCTAAACATGGTCTACTTCAGAGTTCTGCACACACACACAGTTTTTGTCAAGCTTAGATTGAATGGATGGATGGATGGATGGATGGATGGATGGATGGATGGATGGATGGATGGATGGGTGATTCCTTGCAGGTCATACCCTGTCAAACACACCAAATTTTGTAGTTTTAACATGACAAAAGCAGTTTGAATACTTTTGGTAAACTGCTTTCTCTGAAAACAATCTAGAGTTCAAGATATCCATATCTCTAATATGAGGAACAGATCAGTTAATTATTAACACAATTCACTGAAGAAACTTGAGCCACCCTTTCTGAAGATCTTACATTCCTTGTGTTATGCAATTCCTCTTTCAGAAACAAAAGCTGCCGTCACAGACCCCGACTCTGAAGGGATACAATACATTGATGAGAAAGTGGATGGAGACAATAAAGACATGGACAGATATGAGGAAACTATATCAGAAGAGGAGGAGGAGGAGGACAGTTACAAAGAAGCAAAGGCCGACACAAGCGCGCTCCACATCAACAAGGTCAACCTGAGGGCGGGTCTCAGAGAGAGCGAGAAGTCGTGCCTGAGAGTGTGTGTGGAGATCACACACCCTGCACTCCACATTCCAGTTTATCGAACCTGGACAGGTAAGACTGATATACTTAAATAATGATTCCCTTATCTAAAATAATAATCCAAACACACAACGGCTAAATAACATTTATGCTAAAGTGGTTAGTCTCTCTGATAAAACTGTATTACTAACACATTGGTCTGACAGGGAAGCAGAGGAAAAAGATGGACCCAATACTTTTTATGTGTGTATTCACACATTCCAATAAAATGTAAGAAATAATCAAATCCAATGTGTTTATGTGTGTCTCAGCAGCAAACCTTCTTTCACACATCTGATATCCAGTGTTCAGTGGTTATACTGTCATCTAGTGGATCCACTAAGCAGAGCTTACCGGCATGAATATTAGATTAAAAAAGTGTTTTAAGACCCTTCCAGATTTCCATCCAGACTTATATAATAGTTACCATAGATTTCTATGCTGCATGTTCTGGATGCAAGACTGTCATTCTGACCTGTCCAAATGTGTTCCCTTTGGGTGAGATCTGCTATCTGTGGAGGTCATTAAAGTACAGTTAACCCATGATTATGTCCAAAAAAAAGGCTGAGCTCATCTAAGCTTGGCAACATGATTCATTATCCTGTAGGACGTAGCAGAGGAAGGACACTGTGATCATAAACAAATGGATGTGGTCAGCAATATTTGACATCCAGTGCAATAAATATATATATAAATATTAATATCCATCTATATAAATACCCATGTAAACACCCTGTGCAATAACCCTGTATAATGATTGTACATTATCATATAAAAAAGCTGTCTTATGTGGACGCACTGTATATACTATATATATATCATGCACCTTTTTCTTTCTTTGTCATATTCCTCTTCTTTGATTATTTAAAAGATCAATAAAGTCAATCAATCAATCAAAAAAAAAAAACTGATGATCAGCTGGTTCACAGACTGTTGGTACAGAATGGGATTTTTATGTCATTTATTCAAAACTCCAACAAAAATCCTGTTAAAGTCAAGCTCTTTAGGTCCTGTCAATAGTTTGATCCTTTTTAAATCCTTCCAATATAATCAGGGAGGTCGTGTGTTTTAGATTATTAGTAGAAATGCGCCAGTGATGGCTTGTTTGACCCAGATAATCACTCGTGTTGCTTCAGAATTGAACATTACATCTATGCTTATCAGTATTAAACTCATTTTGCTGAAAACTCTTTAAGAGACCTGAAAAATATATAGATTGACTGTTATTTCAAGACAAAGCCACAGTATAAAATACACAGTACATAAAAGAATAAGGCGTTTGAACCACATCATATGAAATGACATTACTTTTAAATCTGATAGAATGCATGTTATTTCCTGAGAGCAAAACGGAAATGTTGATGGTTAAATACATGGCTAGCAACGTTTTTTTTGTTACTCAAACTATAATAAACTCCCTGAATCAACACAAAGTTTGTTCTTCTTTGTGAAATTCTCTTTCAGAGGCCAATGAGGAAATTTCATCCTCCACATGAAGAAGACCCTCAACATAACTTCCTTATTTTCCTTCGCTTCTACTGTATCTAATATTTATCTACAAGACATAACATAAATCACATTATTAAAATGCATATCATATGTTTCTTGTTTCTTGTTGGATCAGGGTTTATTTATATCTTTAGTCTCTCGTCTTTTACTTTTTTTTTCTAAACTGTATTTTTTCTCCCACAAAAGATCTTATTTTTGTATAAAGATGCTGACAATAAAATAAAGACTAAAATCATGTTAAAGCTGAATCGTTTCTTCTCTTCCATCTTTAAAGATTTCAACACAGGAACTGCAGCTCTGTGTTGTTTCAAGTTACGTGCAAAAGTTGTAGCTGTTACTGTGCCCTGCCAATGTTAGTTCTTGTTTCAAAATATACTTCTGTTTTTTTTTTTTTTTTCTGCCTTGACCACGAGAACAGCTCTTTGCTAGGTGTTAGGTGCTGAAAGGTTGTGGTGTACCTATTTACAAAAAGGCTCTACACAAACACACACAGCAGCTAGTTATGCTTAAATCATCTCTAAGCTATCATAGGATGTAGTTAAATACCAATGGTACAGGAATAGATGTTCTGATACTGTTGCACCATCTTTATATAAGCTGGACTTTTACCATTTAAACAGGAAAGCTTTACATAAGGATTAATTATACAGTGGATGTGAAATCATTTTTTTATTACCAGCTAGGCTTGAGATGGCCATAGAGTTGAGGCTTATCAAGGTTTTAAATACAATCTGCTTTTTATTTTAAGCTTGTGCACATAAACAAGAAATGTATCTTCTGATACTCCCCTTTGATCTCAGTTAAGTTTTTTTTTAAACTGAAATGCATGAGAAACAAAAATGTTTTTTTCTTGTGGAGACATGGATGCTATCTTGCACATATAGAGGGGGCACTATACTGTCCTTTTCCTGACCTTAGGGATGGAGAGGAAGCGAATGGAGGGAAGGTCGACCTAAGATCCTTTCTGCAGGGCTGTCCTATTCTGATTGAAACCAAACAGTGATGGAGGAACACACGACAGGCTGAATAATGGCGGTGTAGAACATAATGTTTAAACATATTAAATGGCGAAAACAAAGTAAAAATCAACCCCAGCAATGTGAAAACCCATCCTTTGGATGGAGTTTTTACTTCCTGCATGAAGTAATCACTTTTGCTGCACACATTTCATCAACTGGCTAAAAAGAAGGAGATGCAGGTTAATTTGAAAGGGCAACTTCAGCAAAAAAGCAATAAAAAAGTGGTTTGCATAAAATCATAAGAAACAAATAGAAAGTAATGAAGGCCTCTACATTTTTCTTAGTTACAAGACAGAAAAAAAAATTCTCTAAAAATATGTCTGGTTGTATTTTATTTATTTTTTTTCATGAAAGTTCTGTTAACCTTTTAAATTGTTATGGTAATACTGCAGCACATTCTAACATTCTTATAATTGTTTCTCTTTCACACATAACTTTACTGGAAGTGGGCCATGCTACTGGTGGTTTGAGCAGCCCACAGCTTAGAGGAAACCGGCAATGACAGTTCTCTTTAACTCCTATCAGCTGCATGACTGGTCAAACTAAAAAATAACTTGAAGCAAAACACCATGTCTAACTATGAGAAAAATAGTTATTTACATCTGTCTGCCCAGAAAAGGGTTCCAATGCAACTTCTTTAGGGTTTTAGATACCAGGGAACTACAGTGACTAGAACCATCTTCCATGACACAGAAAAATAGGGAACAGAGATCTACTTTCCCAGAACCATACAATCAACCAAACTTACTCCAGGAGCCCATCAATGACTCATCTGGAAGGTCAGCAAATAACCAGGAACATCCTCTGCAGGCCTTATATGGATTCCTTAAGGTCAAAGTTCATAATTCAACAATAAGAAAATGAGAATGGGGTAAAAATGTGTATCCACAGAGCTCTGAAAACAAAACTGCAAAACAAGCTAAATATAAAGGGAAAAAAAATACATCTTAATGTTCTACAAAACTTTGAAGAATGTATTATTGAAAAATAAGACAAAAGTGGAGCTTTTAGGTACTATAGGTGTCAATCCTTACATCTACCAGATAAAACTATTAACACTGTTCAGATAAGGATTCATTAAAACAACTTTTAAACAGTGACGGTGAGTGATGATGTGTGATGGTTTCGGGCTGCTCTGCCCTAGTTATGCAGTGGTGTCAAAAGTGCACGCATTTGTTACTTAAGTAGAAGTATAGATACTGCAGTTTAAAAACACTCTGGTAAAAGTTGAAGTATGAACTTGACCTCTTTACTCAAGTAAAAGTGAAAAAGTATGTGCTCCAAAACTACTTAAAGTTTAAAAGAATAAAGTAACCTTTTTTTATAAAAAAAAAAAAAAAAACACTCAGATCCCACTACATGAATTTTAAAGCTCAATTTTTTTGACTATTTTTAGAAATTCTTTGAGATAGGGCCAAGGATGAGGGAGGTTTTGTTGGTCTTCATCTCCCGATACGCTCCCACCTGTGTTCCACCTTTCAGACATTCCAACATCTTTTTCTGAATCCGACATTGTAGCATGGCATAGACAATTCACGTTGACAGTTTGAAGAACACCTGCTTGCTTCTGATGATTTCCATTAGCTAACCAATGAGTGTTTGCGTTATATGACTCATCCAATTAAACTAGTTTTCACTAGATGTGGATGGAGCCAATGATCTGCATTGGATGGCGCACAGGAGGTGAAATAAATATTTATAAACATTCAACCCAAGCCAAGAATAATGAGTAATGTTTGCTTTAAAAATGTAAGGAATAGAAAGTACAGAAACTTGTGTGAAAATATAATGAGTAGAAGTACGAAGTAGAAGGAAAAATAAGTAATGGAGTAAAGCATAGATACCTAAAAACTGTACTAAATGCTTCACTAAAACAAAAAATGAAGGTCTTGGATTGAAGTGCGCTAGTTCTAGTTTTTTACCAGACAGAAAATTCTCCAAAAACCTCCAGCTTAGATGTACTGTAATAAAGCAAAGATTTGTCTAATTTCTCCTTTAATGACTTGCTGTTGCCACAAGAGGGGGAAACCTGTTCAGTACAAAACAAACCAAAAAAAAAAAAGGCTAAGTGGTTTGGATGACTTTCGACTTTTATATCATATTTGGAAAAACTTAATTTTGTTCTGATTCTAACATGTGTTATGCTTATCTGAAACTTTTAACAGTCACAGTAAAGGATCAAAACCTGTAAGTGAGCAACCCGTTCATAGCTCTGTATTTGAAATAAGATTCTTAACTTCTCTGTGTCACTTCTCTTCGCAGAGTGACAGAAACAGAAGTAGAAATAAAGAAATGGGTTTTAGGTTGTTGTTAAAGCATGAACTGTTGCAGATACAACCTGTGCAATCTCATTTTTATCACCTTCAGCCACTTCTCTAATAGATAACTTCTACAAATGTCTTCACAGGCTGATTAATAAGCCTAAGCATAAAAAATAAGCTGGAAAATTTTTAATAAACTTAGTCTTAATGAATGCATTAATTCATGTATTGGTCCTTCTTCTGCAGAAAGTTATTTTAAAGCTGCATTTCTCTCTGCAGCTCAGCAACTAATCACACGCTCTTTAGTGGTCTGATGTGTCACAGAAGCGCTGTTTACATCCGCAAACTGTGCAGCGCATCTGCTCGCCTGACCGCTCAGCAGGAATCAGCCTCTTCCTGGTCATAACGCACCGGACACGCGCCAAAAAACGGAAGTGCACCTATCACAGGACCCCCGCAGAGACAGGAGCGTCTAGGAGCAGCTTTGAGGTGAAGCTTCCGATCATCACATAGCGCAGGATTTAAACAGATGTGCTGTTTCTTCTGTTTGATGTAAACAGTTCAACAAGGAAGGAGGTGCAAGGATGAACCCGGAGCCTGACAGCCCCTTTTCCAGGGTGGAGAGGACCCTGGTATCAGTCTGGGTGAGCATCTGTATCATTTTCTTACAGAAGTTTGATTTTACAGTTTAAAGTTGTGACGTGACGTGAAAGTTTCACGAGTCTCTTCCTGTTTAATCATTTCTGACAATAGTCTCACACAAACATCCTACATACATGTTCTCTGTTTACTCCTCCCCTCTTCACACCTGCATCTTTAACCTTAGCAAAAAGTAGTTTATCAAGTACCTATACTATAAGTGCACTAATTTCATACTTAAAATTAGGCAGTGCACTTGGAGTTTACTTATTCTAAACTATATTTCATATAGGCTACTTAACAATAGTATTGTCAAGTGTACTTGACTATTGTTTACTTTATTGTTAACTTAAGAATGTCCCAATTTAGTTCGAAGAAGTATTACTTTAGTAATACTTCAAGTACACTAAAAGTACTTTGTTCAGTATACTTTCTAAACTTATACTTAAGTATTCTTAATAGAATTTACTTCAAGTATACTACTTTTAGCCTTATGCACCTTTCTTCAATTTTAATTTAATTTTGAAATAAATGATCAAAAATTTGCACCTATGTGCACAGTATTTTTTGCCACGTTAAAGTAACACTTAAAGAGTTAAATTTAACACCAAGCTGAGTGCATTTCCCCCCCTCTGAATTGGAGTTAAATTAACTCTCCCTTAGCAAAAAGTAGTTTATTCAAGTATACTAAAAGTGCACTAATTTCATACTTAAAGTCAGGCAGTGCACTTAGAGTTAACTTATTCTAAACTATTTTTCATATACTTAACAATAGTATAGTCAAGTGTATTTGACTATTGTTTACTTTATTGTTTACTAAAGTATACTTTAAGTACGGTATACTTTAGTAAACTTAAAAATGTCCCAAATTAGTTCGAAGAAGTATTACTTTAGTAATACTTGAAGTACACTAAAAGTACATTGTTCGGTATACTTTCTAAACTTACCGTATACTTATACTTAGGTATTCTTAATAGAATTTACTTTAAGTAAACTACTTTTTGCTTAGCTTGATACACCTTTCTTCAGTTTTAATTTAATTTTGAAATGAATAATCAGACATTTGCGCCTATGTGCACAGTATTTTTTGCATCGGTAAAGAGTGAAATTTAACACCAAGCTGAGTGCATTTTTCCCCACTCTGAATTGGAGTTAAATNCAGTGCACTTAGAGTTAACTTATTCTAAACTATTTTTCATATACTTAACAATAGTATAGTCAAGTGTACTTGACTATTGTTTACTTTATTGTTTACTGAAGTATACTTTAAGTATACTTCAGTAAACTTCAAAATGATCCAAATTAGTTCGAAGAAGTATTACTTTAGTAATTCTAAAAGTACACTAAAAGTACATTGTTCGGTATACTTTCAAAACTTATACTTAGGTGTTCTTAATATAATTTACTTTAAGTAAACCAGTTTTTGCTAAGGGTTAGCCTGATACAGCTTTCTTCAGTTTTCATTTAATTTTGAAATGAATAATCAGACATTTGAACCTATGTGCACAGTATTTTTTGCAGCTAAATTTAACACCAAGCTGAGTGTTTTTTTTCCCCACTCTGAATTGGAGTTAAATTAACTCCAAAGAGTAGTATACTTGAAGTATACTAAATTGGGATATTTTAAAGTTTACCTAAGTATACTTAAAGTATACTTTAGTAAACACTTTTTATACTTCTCAGTGTAAGTCAAGTACACTTGACTATATTATTGTTAAGTATATAAAATATAGTTTAATTTACTTTACTTTACAGTTTCATTTACTTTACTACGGTAGTTTCGTTTACTTATTCATAGAATAAGTAAACTCTAAGTGCACTGCCTGATTTTAAGTATGAAATTAATGCACTTTTAGTATACTTGAATAAACTACTTTTTGCTAAGGGATATCTTACTCCAGTTTTATTTGTAATTACTCTAAGTGTACTTTGACACTGTGGAATTTACTGTGTATTGTTTACAAGAGGGGTGTAAATACAGAGGCCCATTTCTGCCAAAGTGATCATTATAGGATCATGATAACCTACATACCTGAGATGCTATCTTCTAATTATTACAAATTATGTATGTTTTCATAATAATGACTTAAACTTATTCAGGTCAAAGGATGAGAAAATTCATGTTATTGAATTGACAAAGGAAGATTTTTGTACCCAGCATTTCAAAGTATAACATATGCTGTTGTTTTTTTTATACAGTGAGGAAAACAACATTTGAACACCTTGCTATTTTGCAAGTTCTCCCATTTAGAAATCATGGAGGGGTCTGAAAATGTCATCATAGGTGCATGCCCACAGTGAGAGATATAATCTAAAAAAAAAAAAACAAAGAAGCAGAAATCACAATATATTTATTTAACAATTTATTTGTATGATACAGCTGCAAATAAGTTTGAACTCCAGTCTATCAGCTAGAATTCTAACCCTAAAAGACCTGTTGGTCTGCCTTCAAAATGTCCACCTCCTCTCCATTTATTATCCTAAATCAGATGCACCTGTTTGAGGTCGTTAGCTGCATAAAGACACCTGTCCACCCCATACAATCAGTAAGAATCCAACTACTAACATGGCCAAGACCAAAGAGCACAAAGACACTAGAGACAAAATTGCACACGTCCACAAGACTGGAAAGGGCTACAGGGAAATTGCCAAGCAGCTTAGTGATAAAAGGTCCACTGTTTGAGCAATATCTAGAAAATGGAAGAAGCTAAAAATACAACATGGGAGGAGCTGGTCAAAGAGCTTTGACCACGGTTTCCAAGGTTACTGTTGGTATTACCCTAAAACATGATGGTTTGGACTTTTGCATGGCATGGAAGGCTCCCCTGCTTAAACCAGCACATGTCAAGGCCTCTCTTAAGTTTGCCAATAACCATAGATGTTCCAGAGGAGTCATGGGAGAAAGTCATGTGGTCAGATGAGACCAAAATAACTTTTTTGATCATAATTCAACTAACCGTGTTTGGAGGAAGAAGAATGATGAGTACCACCCCAAGAACACCATCCCTAGTGTGAAGTATGGTGGTGGTAGCATCATGTCTTGGGGTATTTTTCTGTCGTGGGACAGGGCGACTGCACTGTATTAGGGAGAGGATGGGACCATGAATTGAAAGATTTTGGGGAACAACCTTCTCCCATCAGTTAGATAATTGAAGATGAGTCGAGGCTGGGTCTTCCAACATGACAATGACCCGAAGAAAACCGCAAGAAGTGGCTCTGTAGGAAGCATATCAGTGTTCTGGCGTGGCCTAGCCAGTCTCCAGACCTAAACCCAATAGGGAATCTTTGGAGGGAGCTCAAACTTTCTCAGAAGCAGTCCAGAACCTCTAAAGAAGATCTGTGTGAAGGAGTGGGCCAAAATTCCTCCTGCAGTGTGTGCAAACTTGGTGAAAAACTAAAGGAAACATCTGACCTCAAACAAAGGCTGCTGAACCAAAAATTAACATTCATTTTCTCAGGTGTTCAAATACTTATTTGCAGCTCTCACTGTGGACATGCACCTACAATGACAATTTCAGACCCCTCCATGATTTCTAAGTGAGAGATCTTGCAAAATAGCAGGGTGTTCAAACACTTATTTACCTCACTGTATGTAATGGTTTTACAAAACACAAATAGTGTTTTATAGAATCTGTAAAAAGTGTACAATAAATCTTTTTAGTTTAACTTATTATATGTTTTGAAACTTATAAATCAAAAGTGGCTCTATTGCCAAAAAAGGCATGTGGGGGCAAGAATAAATGAAGCTTGAATTTATTTATTATTTAGTTATATAGATTTGAATGAATATGTGTTAAAGGTAGAATTAATAAGTTTGGCCAGTGTAGGTATTTTATATTTTAAACTAGACATGATATACATACACGTGCATGTGCATGAGCTGTGATGTGATTTAACGTTGTCCCAATACCATTGGCACCAGTTTTAGCCACATTACAGCAGCTAGTGTTTAGTTGCTGTAGTCTCAGAGTGCACTTCATCATCATCATTTCCCTTTTCTACAAAATGTCCAAGTTACACTTCAACACAGATGACTGTTAAAGATGCTTTATCAGTAAGACAAACAAACAAAAATGCAGCATACTCCCTTTCTAACTTCAAAATAAGACTTTCAAACACGGATATCACAGCAGAAATCCCTCTCTTTTAAATCTGGGATTCATTATAATGAAGTACACTTAATTTAGTAGGCAGCATCCTACTTTACTACTGAAAGTATCTGAACTTCTTTTCTACTTAGAGTATTTCTTAACATTTTCCTTAACATCTTATGTTTTTTTACCTGTATGGAATTTAGATTTAGAGACTGAACAGCTTATACACTCAAGGCATAACCAGTGTAATTTCTGCACAGGCATAGGAAAAATTTCAGTCTATTCTACGTTTCCCATCATAACAATATACTTTGCACAAGAGCTTAAATCCTGAATGTGTTTTGCACCTCCATCAGGGGAGCAAGCATGTATTTTGACAACACATCCTGAATCTAATGTGAAGGAGATCTGAGTTATCAAATCAGAAATCAGTGAAGGTCACTTCTTGCAAACTCAGATATCCGTTTATGAATCTTGCTTTGTGTATAGAAGTATTGTTGTTGTAAAACAGGAAAAGGTCTTTAACAATCCGCCTGCAAAGCTGTGGGGACACTATTGTGTAAATAGCCTTGTGCATTGCCACACTAAAATTATACAAGGGGGAACTAAGTGTGTTCTTATCTCTCTATGTGAGAGCTCATACAGTAGTTAAACTGTTTTTTCAATCTCTTCCCCAGTGTTACATAACTGAAGCCGTGAGCAGATTCCTAAGGCCACAACCAGCTGAAACAGCCAACAATGACCCAAACTCTATTCAGGAATCAAACGTGGATGATGACGCTCCTGGCGGTATGCAAACGGGAGCCGACACCAGCGGTGAAGAAACCTGCGAGGAACAGCCTTTTCAGACAGTTTCTCTTCTGAGTTCATCCTCACCAGCTGTTCCCTGGGAGCAGTGCATTGCAGATGTTGATGTTAAGCCTAAACAAGACCAAGAGAACAAGGAGGACATGAGAGAGGACGAGTTTGGTCTTACAGGAAATGACCATGCAGAATCAGAGGGTGAAAATGCATGTCAAGAGAGACAAGAAAAAAGTGAGAAAAAAAACTCTGACACATATGAGGAAAATGAGACGACTGAAAACAACGAGGAACATGCTACTGTTGGATCTGGACATATGCTGTTAAAGGATGTAGTGAGTGACGAAATGGACTCAAGAGTTGAAGAAGTGGAACACTTGAGCGCAGAAAGACTGGATGAATGTCTAAAAGTGGTGGAAACAATGAAGGAACCCCAGGAAGACGATGGACAAGAAAAAAAAGAAGGCTTGGAGGAAGAAAGCAAGATAAAAGACTGCAGCTCAGCAGAGAAGGAGGAAAGCAATGCAGAGACAGAAGAGCAAAGGTACATTAAAGCTACTGGAGTGATGCTGGGAGATGTTAACATCTGTCAAGATTCACAACAGTTGAGCCTGGAGTTTTCAGAGTTTTCCGGCTTTGCCAAGGATGAAAAAAAAGAACCCGGTAAGTCCAAAACAGATGATGAGCCAGAGCAGAAGAAGAGCAGCAGAGCTGTTGAGGATGTCCAACAAGAGGAACATGTTGTATCCCTTAAACCTGCAGGCAGAGAAGATGATCCTAGCACAAGAGAGGACCAATTCGGCCCAAGAGCACATGATAGCGCAGAGAAGATGATCACTGAAGACATCACAGAACAAGTTGGACCAGAGATAACACAGTTGCACATTTGTGTTGAAGAGAGTGTTGATAAAACAGAAGACCAAGCTAACGCTGGATCAAAAAATACTGTAAATGAGGAAATTTGTGAAGAGATCAAAAAAATAAATAAAGTAGCTGCGGCTGGGGGAGACTCTGTGGGCACATTAACACTATATGGTTCTCAAGACGTGGAACAAGCAAAGGAAGACATGGAGGATGAGAACAGTAATGTGGAAGTTGATAAAGAAGAAGATAATGAAAACTCAAGAAAAATGGAAGAGGAAAAATTGTGTAGCTTTAGCAAAGAGGAGGACAGCAATGAAGAGACAGGAGAACAAATGGAGAGCAAGGCCCCGACTGTGATCCCAGGAGATGCTAAGATATGTGAAGATGCTTTAGAGTTAAGCTCTAAACAGGAAAAATCCCAAACAGAAACCCAGCACCCTCTCTGCCAAGAGTTGTCAGATTTGGCCGAAGTTGAGAGTGTCCGGGTTGCTGACATTATAGAGGAAGAGCCAAATGAGTCTGCAAAACATGAAGAGCCTTATAAGAAGAGTAGCCTAGCAGTTATTGATGTCCAAAAAGTGGAAACTGTGGTAACCCAAAGTATTACAGCATGCGAAGATGACCGTGGCAAGGCAGAAGAAGAGTTTGGCCTAAAAGAAAATATTAGCACCGAACAGCTGATCACTGAAGAAATGACTGGTCATCAAATTGGACAGGAGTTAAGTGACATCCAACAGTTGAACATGTTTATTGAAAGAGAAGGAGTTAAAAACATAGAAGATCAAACCAAGGCTGGATCAGCACATACTGAAAATGTGTTAATATGTGAAGGGATGGAAATAAAAGATGAGGAAGCTGCTGCAGGGGGAGACACTGTGAGCACATTAAGATTAGATAGTTTTCCACAAGAGAATGAAGACACAGTCCTGGTGGATGAGAGCAGTAAAATCAAGGAACACCAGGCTGAAGAAAATGAAGAGGACTTTAAAGAAGAAAGTGGGGTAAAACTTTGGACCATCGTCGAAGAGAAGGAAAGCAATGAAGAGACAGAAGAGAAAAGGGAGGATGAAGGTGCTGCAGTGATGCTGGGAGATGCTAACATTTATGAAGAGACTTTACAGTTGAGCCCTGAACTGGAAAATAAATCAGAAGATGGAACACACTCAGAAGTTTTGCACATTTTCAGCAAAGAGTTGTCAAGTTCGACCAAGGATGACACTGACACTGAGGAGAAAGACTCTAGTAAGTCTGAAACAGATGAAGAACCAGAGGAAAAGGGCAGCAGAGCAGCCGAAGATGTCCAACATGATAAAACAGTTTTCACCCCAAACGTTACAGGCAGCAAAGATTATCCTGGCATAGGAGAGAAACAGTTTGGCCTAACAGGACAAAATAGTGCAGAGCAGCTGATCGCTGAAGACATGATGGAACATCATCTAGAAACAGAAAAAATGGACACAAAGCAATTACAGACTCTTGTAGAAAAAGAAGATATTAAAAACACAGAAAATCAAATTCAGGTTGGATCAAATGATACAGTAAATGAACCAATATGTGAAGAGATCGAAAAAGGAGATGAAAGAGCTGCTCCTGGGGAAGACCCTAAGAGCACAGTCAGTCTAGATGGTTCTCAAATTGTGGATGAAGCCTTGGAAAACTTGAAGGATAAAGCTAATAACATCCAAGAAGATAAACTAGAAAAGAATGAAGAAGACATTGAGATGGAACATGAGGTAAAACTGTGCACCATTAGCAAAGAGGAGGAGAGCAATGAAGAGGGAGGAGAGCAAAGGGAATGGGAAGCTTCTACTGCCAGGTTGGAAGATGCTCAGATCTGTGATGATGCTTTACAGTTGAGCCCTAGACAGGATAACTCAGAGGAGAGAAGACAGGCAGAAACTCAGCTTGTCTGCAAAGAGTTGTCAGGTTTAGCTGAGGATGAGATGGTTTTGGTTGCTGACACTGAAGAAGAAGACCCTAGTAAGTCTAAAATGGATGAAGAGTCCAAGCAAAAGGGCAGCAGAGCTGCCGAAGATGTCCAAGATGAAAATGTTTTA